TTTATTTTTTAGCTTAATCAACATATAATGGCAAAATTATAAGCTTTCATTTTAAAAGGAAATCATATCAAGTTACACTTGCTATAGCAATAAACTAAAAAATAAAAACCAGAATAACCTTATTCTTTATTACATTGTTCCTCTTAAAAAAATCTCATCTTGCCTGGACCATGTGGCTCAGTGGATTGAGTGGCATCCCATGGACTGAGAGGTTCCAGTCTGATTCCTGGTCGGCACATGCCTGGGTTTCGGGCTCAGTGCAGAAGGCAGCCAATTGATGTTCCATGTTTCTATCTCTTTCCCTTCCTCTCTAAGAAACAGTTTAATTAATCTTTAACTGACACATTTCTTATGTAGCTTTAATTAAAGTAGTGGAGCATTACCTTCTGAAATAACATAACAAAAAGTAATCAAACCATTTATAGTGATCAATAATATCTGCAAGGCAAGTTCACTTAATGTAAAATAGGCTAATTTATGTGCTGTGCAATGTTGAAAATCTCTGGGGGGAAAAATGTTTTAAACTGTGGCTCAAGATACTCAACATAACTTTGAATCAGATCACAGCCAAAAGAAACCTTGAGTCTTCAAGGTTTGAAAACACTGACCAGTACTCAGAAAGCGATAAATAATAGAAATAAAACAAAATGATCTTTTAAAAATTAGAACATTATTAAAACAAAGCAAATCTACAAACTTTTAAAAATCGTTGGATCAGATTCCTTAAATCAAAGTATGAAGTCCTATATGGTACATTATATACAAGAAGTTCTTTGTACAAGGTAATAGTTACAAGGTATCAGATTCAATAAAATAAATCTGAGAAAAACACCCCTTGTAACCAGAGATATTACAGAATACTAATTCAGGAAGTTATTCAGCAGCTTATAAAGAAATAGGAAGTTGTTAACCAACTACTTGAAAAACTATTTCCTGTAGGAAAACTATAAGACAGCTGAAGAAGGCAATACTTTTCAGAGTAATAAAGAGAAAGGATTTAAAAAAATAAAAGCTCAATATACAACTTTGAAGAACTTAGTTTTAAATAGTAAATTCACTAGAAAAAATATTATATATACTATACAGACCATGTTTTTTTTAAATATATACTTCACAATCATACCAGAGCTTAAATATGTGTCATTGATAAATGTAGCTAGTATCACCAGAATTCTACTTTATCACTTGCCAAGCAAAGGCACAAGTCTCCTCCAGAAGATCTCAATGACCCAGGAAGGGCTTTAAAAATACCAATGATTGCCTGTCTATAATCCTTCTTCAATAATTACACTGCCTTGAAACAAGAGGATGGCCAATTGACTCCAAAACATCATTTATCTGTGGTGACAAGGCAAAAATTTAGTTATTTCCAAAGTCAACATTTATAAGTTTTCAATCAAATTACACCACCTCCAAGTTTGGACCTTTTATAATCAGATTTCTTCATGATTAATGAAGTATAAATGATTCAAGTATAAATCCCAATAAATTATATACTTATAACTTAGAAGTTAGTTCCAATAAGTACCTAAAAAAATGTTTAGTAAGATATAATTTTTCACTGTTGAAATGAATGTAAAATATACAACTAGTTTTGTTCTACATCTAGCTGGCAACAAGAATCTTCTTTAGATATATGAGGAAAATATGTAAATATTGATTGCAAAGACAGCCTGACTTTAAAACATCAAAACTCACCCTGGCCAGTTTGGCTCAGTGGTTAGAGCGTCAGTCTATGGACCAAAGAGTCTGGGGTTCAGTTCCCGCTAAGGGCACGTACCTTGGTTGCAGTTCGACTCCGGCCCTGGTTGGGGTCTTGTGGGTGGCAACCTGTCGATGTGTCTCTCTCACATTGATGTTTCTCTCTCTCTTCCCCCCTCTCCCTCCTGCTCTATCTGAATATAAATGCAAAAAATGTCCTCGAATAAAAATGACTTTTGAGCCCTGGCCAGTTTGGCTCAGCGGTTAGAGCGTCGGCCTGCGGTCCGGAGAGACCCGGGTTCGGTTCCCGCTAAGGGCACGTACTTCGGTTGCAGTTTGTCCCCGGCCCTGGCTGGTCGTGCGGGTGGCAGCCACTCGATGTGTCCCTTCACGTTGATGTTTCTCTCTCTCCCTTCCTCTCTCTCCCTCCCACTCTATCTGTACAAAAAATGGAAAAGTATCCTCGGGTGAGGATTAAAAAAAAAAAAAAAAAAAATGACTTTTGACAGGAGCAACTTGCTCCAAAAGCTTCACTCAACATCATCTTTGACTCACTGCCAGGACAGATATTAATCATTTTGTGCAATACACAAAAATAAAATTGTTTATGACAACTCACACAGCCAACAACATTATGGACATAGCTAAAGGCATGTGAACTAATCTTTTTATAACTTTTCTCTAAATTGCATATTGTTCATAAAGCAGACTAATCATTAGAAAAGTAATACCCATCTTCCACATCCAATACTTAGTGGCCCCTCTCTATAATTCCTGACAGGTACTATCTAATCCATGATTTTGCCTGTTTTTACTAACCGAGATCAGATCCTTCTATTTCTGAAAGGTATGATATAAGAAAATTATGCCGAGTCAAAAATCCTAATGTTTCTTAACATATAATAAGCCTAATTTTACTTCCACATGAGAGTCCCTCAAAAATACCCCCTTTGGCATTCATGTATTGCAATAAGTGTAGTTAACACCTGTCACCTTACACAGTTTTTCTTTTTTTTTAGAAGGAAGAATTGGTCAGGACTATTTTTAATTTTTATTTTATTTTATTTTTTTATCCTCACCCGAGGACATTTTTCCATCTTTTGTTCAGATAGAGTGGGGGGGGAGAGAGAGAGAGAGAGAGAGAGAGAGAGAGAGAGAAACATCGACGTGAAAGGGACACATCGAGTGGCTGCCACCCACACAACCAACCAGGGTTGGGGACAAACTGCAACCAAGGTACGTGCCCTTAGCGGGAACCGAACCCGGGTCTCTCTGGACCGCAGCCAATGCTCTAACCGCTGAGCCAAACCGGCCAGGGCTTTTTTTTTGTTATGAGAACTTTTAAGATTTATCCTCTTAGCAACTTCTAAACAATGAAATTCAAAAATCTTGAAGAACAATCACGTTTCTCTACCCTTTCCCTAGTTTTCTTATCCAGGTAGGTTTCTCTCCACTGCTGCAACAATTACTCATAGAGAATAATGTTCATATTACTTTGGCCAGGTTTACCCTCCCTACAGGCCCACTAGAGTGAGGTGTTCAGAGCGATGTGGTTTGTATGTGTATCCACTCTTCATTAATCCATCTTTATCAATATCTTTAAAAAAATACTTCTCAAAGGAAGAACCACTGGAGGCTTTAAAAAATAAATTATAGAACATTTCAGCTCAAAACAAAAAGATCACTCAAAATTAAAATGTAGGCAGATGTTACCAATAAGCAATTTTTACAAGATACAAAAGACTAAGGAGAGCATAAATGTTGCTCTTTAACCTTATACTTTCAGCTACAGAATCAACCAAAGAAAAGAAGGCAAGCAGGCTATTAAACTGTTTAAAAAATCTCCCCAGGTCAGCATGTGACCCAGCAGGGAGAGGTTCAAAAAAGTACAGCCTTTCTTTTTTCCGCCTAACAACCTGGTTTGTTTCCACTCTTCCCTTAAAGACACATCCTCACAGCTAGCAGCTCTTTCAATCATTTACTTTGGATGTCTGCTTGAGAAGAAATGATCTTGCTCATGCAGATGAGTTTGCCAGACTTGTGTGTACTTTCCAGTCCAGGCCCTTTATTGTTCTGGTTGAAACCTGACCCTTTGAAATGGATACCAGGACACCAGAAAACGAATTAAAAGAAGAAAAATGTTGCAGGAAAGGAGGCAAAAACTGTAGAAATTTTTCAAGATCAAACTTTTTCCTCTGCTTATCTTCTTAATAAGGCTGTCACAAAACTGTATCTTACATTATAAAGTAACAACCTACCCTGAGAGCCAATTAATATAAAATATTTACTAAGACTCACACAATAAAACAGTATCGTTAATTGTATTATCTGATCTAATAAATATATGTTACATTTGCCTAAGGAGTAGATTGTCAAGACAAATCTCAATCAAAACACAGATTGTTTTTCACTTTTACTATCTCAACCTGATTAAATAGTACCAAGTAAGCTACCTTTTTTAAAACAACAATTTGTCTGTAATAATTACTTTTAAAAACCATTTTGTACACATTTAATTAAATGAGCCAGATAAAAATATTAAGGTCTTATCTATAATTTCAAAATGAGAGGGGATAGAATTTTATTTCAATCTTTTCAGCTTTAATGAAATTTTATCATTTTGTTAAGGACAAAAGTCTGATAAAAATAATTGACAACAGCCTTGTTTTTGTTTTCCCGGAGAGGAGGGATTCTATTTTGAAGATCTGCTAGTAAGTTTGCCACTAAAAGACTGTATATCAAACCTGGAAATTCTGTTTCTCTTTACATTGTGTGTGGGGGTGGGGTGGGGTTGGGAATCCCTGATAAATCACATCAAACTGCAGCTAAATGATTTGTCATTTCACAATCTAAAAGATTGTAAAATTATACTCCCAAAGAAATCCTGTAGGATTTCTACCAATAAAATGTTTACTTAAAAAGATGTGAGTAGTACTATACTTACTCTATAACACTATGCCAACCCTATAATTGTCACAATTTGAAACTTTTCATGGTATTTTTTCTTTTGAGCTAGGCTAATTAATAGGTCTGGCACAAACTTAAAATGAGAATACCAAATTGCCACAAGAGATTATTAAAAGGCTCTGAACCAAGAATCAATCAAGCTGTCAAATTTTACACAAGCTAAAGAAGGTATTTAGATCATATCAAAACAAAAATATGAAAGATTAACTGAACTTGACAGAAATATTAAATAATATATAAAAATAATGACATTTAATTCTTGATACCATTTTACTGTTTTTCCAAAATACATTTTCCTTAGAAAACAATCTCCCACCATTATTTTCACTTACTTTAAGAAGTATCTCTGACCAGAAGATGTCTTCGCCATCTCCCAGCCTGCTGGCAGAGGTACATCATCAGGTATTTCAAAAGAAGACTGTCGAAGGTGTTGAGCAGTGGGTGTAGCTGCTGGGCCAGAGACTACTCCAGTGGGGGTCAGTGTCCCAGGAGACACCGCTCCCAGCTGCAATGAAGCTGGAGAGGAATGAGCTCGAACATGCTGTGGAGTCAGGGCCCCTGCAGTGCCTGCATCAGTACTGGCCTATAGGAATATTAAAATGAAAATTTTAAAATTGTTTTTGAATAGTCCCTTTAAATGTCCTAGATAGACTTCATTGCAACCAAATATCTAAGTACCAAAGGCAAATTTTAATATTTAATATTTGACACAGAGGAATATAGTTTTGCAGATGGATATTCTTAAATGTTCATGTAGTTTTAATATGTACTTTTACAAACATTTGTGATTTTATTGATGAGCAATTCATCTAAGTGAATTTTCTACCTACTGCACATTCGATGTGCTTTCTACATATTTTATAGGCAAATAGCACAGAATGAATGAAACATCCCTACAATAATAAATGTTGGATTCTAAAACCTACTTTCTACAAGGTCAATGAAGTATGAGTGCTTTTCCAAGTTCTAAAATGTTCCAGGTATAAAGATAACCCAAGGAATGAAATAACTATAGTGGGTTTTTTTTTATTACGTTTTAAGTAGTTATTTTTTTTTTCTAAGCCAAGCCCTAAACAAATGACAGTCTTTTTCCCCTCATCATGGACAAATGCCATCAATAAAACAATCATCACAAGTTATACAACTTTTAATAAATGCAAAGATTTAGAACTATCCAGATGTTCTTAAAAGCCACCTAATGAATGAAACCCCAACTATATATTTGTACCTAGATGATAAAGATGTCAACAGTTTAATTACAATAAAACTTAAAATCTTAGACACATACATATTTACCATTGTGTAACAGCAGAAAAAAGTCTGCCCTAAGACCCCAAAGTTCTAGGTCCCAGTCCAAGCTGGCTAGTGTAAATATCTTAATCTCTGGGAGTCTCAGTTCTCTCATTTATAAAATAGTTTTCATGATGAAAAAACATGGATATATACATGTATATATATGAGTAAATTTATATCCAATAGTTTGTGGATAATAGTATTTACAACCCATATTCAAACTATTCATAATTCAGTTATTTAAATTCCATTATTAGAATTAGGAGCTGATTATCAAAATTAGAATTTCCTACATTCATATATGCAAGGAAGGGAGACTGGAAGCAATCAAAAGAGGCCTTAAAGTCACATACATTTCTGAGTTTCCAATCAGAATACATTAGAATTAGGAAGTCATTAATAAAAGTCAAAGTTACAGATGCACAACACTTAGTTAAGAAACATATTAAGAACAAACAAAACTATATTAGACAATCAATACTATAAATCAATAAACTGCTGGATATACATTCTTGCGAAATTATTTACTAGAAGGATAAGTATACTTTTCAGTTGCAATTCTTTTTGGCTTATAGGTGCCACAAAATGGGGAATTCAATCTCCTATGTGTATTTTGCTTTCAAAACACATTAACCAGCAGCACAGCCCTGTAGTCTGTAGGATGCACGTTTACCCATAATGAGTCCAAAAACCCACTTCCAGGGGTAAAAGATAAAGGCATAAAGTCTACTTCTTACAAATCGAAGTGTTTAGGAAAGCAGCTAAATTGTTTTTCCTTCCTCCTTCTTAATCCAGGTTTTTGTCAGCAGGAAAAGTGAGTTTTTCTAAGTTTAAAATCCCGTAGTCTTCGGCAGGAGAACCTACAACAGCCGTGCAAATGAGTGGGGGAATGGGAGTGGGGGCTATAACTCTTCTTTTCACTCAAGTTACTACTGCCCAAGTGGACTAACTACATCGCAGTATTTGGAAAACCAATTAACTTTTGGGCAAAGTTCCGAAACTGAAGTTTAGCCTGAAGCAAGTACTTTTTTGAAAAAAGGTCAAGAAAGAAAGAAACACCTACACTAAACAAATCTACTGGGACCTGTCGGAATGTTAACACTTCTATAATAGTTTCACTTCAATGCTGCATCAAGTTGACAAAATAATCGAACGCTGTGTATGTGGAACAGCCACGGTCATATTCTCAGTAAGAATTAAAAAGCAATGGCAAGCCTCGAATTAGTCATCGCTTCCCAAACAGTAACTTTTAATCACAGTTAACTAGGCAGGACTCGGCCTATGAGTCAACCTGTAATGTATTATCAAAGGCTTGTGTTAAAACCAAGGGACTGTAAAGCGCAACTCAGGTCCTGCGCAACGTCGCAACGTGCAGATGTGGCTAATTTAATAGCATTTCAACAGAATGTAAATAATAGTCTACAATTGGGACACCAACACGTCAACCCACTAAGTTTGATAAGAGCGAGCGTGCCCGAGATCCAAGGAACAAGGGATGCCAAGGGGTGAAAGGACTAACTCCATAAACAACTTCCAGGAAAGTCTGGATCCTGTATTCAGCAAGGGCCGGGGCTACGAGGAAAATAAATGCTTTCGGGAGGGGGAGGGGAAGGGGGAGGGGGAGAAACAGCAAGAAACTGAAGGGACTGGTTCAACCCCCACCCCTAATCAACACAGGAAAACAAGAGAACAATTATTTGACTCCCCAGGAGACTGAAGTGGATCTGGAGGCCCCGAAGGAAAGGGGGCTCGGGGCTCAACTTCACAAACTCGGCCGCCGCTGGCAACTCACCCACACACAAATGCCAGAGGCCCCCCTCCCCCTCCCCCAGCTCGGCGGCGGCGGCGGCGGCGGCGGGAGCGAAGGTGCTGAGCGCGCGGAGGCGCGCGCATTGTGCAAGCCCACCGCGGCCCGGGCCGATTCTCCCCACCCCCTTCCTTCCTACCCACCTCCCCCGCCACTCCCGCCAACCTCCCGGGAACCCCAGGAAGAAAGAAAGAAAGGAAGAAGGGGGGAAGCACGCCCCTCGCGACTGCAACCGCAGAGAGAAACTCCGAGGGGAAAACAAATCTCGGCCCCGGACTCCGAGATGAGCGGGGAGCCCGTAACCGCGGCCAAGCGGACGCCTCCAGTTTCTCCACTACTCGGGAGACTCCCCCCGATCCCCGCCCCGCTAGAGCCCCCGGACCCCCTCTCCCGGCCGGGCTGGCCGCCGACGCTCCCGAGCACCCCCGAGCCCGGGGCCCGCCCAACGGGGAAATGGGCAGAGGAGCAGCGAGGTTACCTGTCGGGAGTGGGATTTGGGCTCCGGCGGCTTGAAGAAGGAGTCGGGCAGCTTCCGGAGCCTCATGGGTACAGTCTGGGGCACGTTGGCCGTCTTGGGGTTCATGACGGCGTTGAAAAGCGCCTCCAGGTCGGTCTCCGAGTCCCCTCGGACGTGCACGATTTGGTGTCCGGCCGGGGGGGCCTGCGGCGCCGCCTGGGACCCCGGGGGTGCGGGCTGCCCGGGCCCGGACGGCGGGCCCTGCCCTTGTGGGGGCTGCGCGGGCGGCTGTCCTTGGCCCTGGGGGGCCGGCTGAGGCGGCGGCTGCTGCCCGGGATCCATGGTTTCTGCCTCCCCCGACGCGCACCCCGACCAGGCGGGCGAGGGCTCCGCCCAGGCGCCCCTGCTCGACGGGCCCAGATGCGAGAAGCGGCGCGGGCGGCGGGCCGGGCTGCGCTGGGCGGCGGGAGCGACGCTCTCCTAGCTCTCAGGGCCGGGGGGCTACGCGGCGGCCCCGCATCCCCCGCCCCGGCGCCTCCGCCCCCGCCCTGCGCCCCGGCTCCACTGGTCTGGCGGCTGCGCCTCGGGAGGGGCTGCGAGAGACCCGGACCTGCGGCGCCTGAGAACTTTTCCCCTTCACTCCCTTGACGGGTGCCGGACAGCTAGTTGCCTCTCCCCTCCCCCTTTCTCTTTTACTTCCTCTTCTTGTTCCTTCCTTCCTTCCTCCCTTTCTTTTCCCCGGCGGCGGCTGCGCCCGACTGAGACAGAAACTCGCCTCAGACGCCAAAACTAAAGTTGAGAGAACCGCCCGCCCGAGCCGCTCACCGGCTCCGCCTCCTCCCGGCTCTTCCTTCCTCTGCGCGCCCGCCCGCACTGGATCCGGGGCGGCCGCGGAGCGAAACTTTCCCCTGCAAGTTGCTACATTCCTGCAGACTCCGGGCCCGACGCCCCTCCCGGCTGCACGTGACCAGCTCGCCCTGGTCCAGGCCTCCGCCCGGGCTTCCCCGCCCGGCCAGAGCGCGCCCGCGAGGCTCCCGACCCGACGACCACCGCTGAGTCAAGGCTGGGTCGGAACTCTGGTCTCGGCGTAGAACGCGGCCGCCCTTGACCGCAGGAAGTCCGCCCGCCCAGCCCGGCCCTTTCCCGTCCAGTCCTTGGGAAAGGATGATGGACTTCCAGTTCGCCCGAGATGCGAAATGGCTCAGGCCGAAAGAGGTCGGCAGGGGACGGGTAAACCCACTTAAACCCTTCCCACATAAGCTCACCTGGACCAACCGCAAGGCCGTGCGGGCTTAAAGCCTCAAGGATAGGTCGGAATTAATTTGGATACCCGTTAACAGGCACTGATTTTAATAAGGGTCCATTCTTTGTAACATTAACTTGATTTTTTTTTTTTTCACTTCGTATCCCTTCAAAGGGATACACGCTTACTGCGATTTGAAGCTTTGGGACTAGATCTGTGACTGATATAATTTACTAAAAATAACAAAATTGCCTTTTTTTAAAACGGAAAACTTTTAGCACTGAAACTTGCAACATAGTCATGAAAACTTAAGCGGAAAAAGTCGGTGCTTAACTTCGGTTACAAGCATTCCTCTGTGTACCTACCTCTCATTCTCAATGAGCTGGTAGTCCGTCCACTCCTTTCTTATCCCTTTGCCTGAATGTCACCGACTGAGTAAGAAATTAATGGGGGAGGAGCTCAACCCAGGTACCTGGTTCTCTTATGTGGGAAGGAGTCCATTTGAAATCATTAAAAGCAATGAAAAAAAATTTAATCCATACATTCTGATTTTTTAATAAGCAGCTTTATTGGGATATAAACAGACTGTACAATTCACCCATTTAAGCAATTCAGTGTTTTTAGTATATTCACAGGATTGTGCAACATCACTCTGATTTTAAATCTACTAGCCCATTCTAAAGAAACCTAACTTCTTGTTTTAATGATTTTGTCTGCAATGCTAGTGGAACAGATGTATAAATAGGTTTAAGCAAGAAAAGGTTCCCTGAGCAGAAAGAATCTTCCTCCAGCCAGAACATGCCCAGGAGAATTCTGAGAAAGGATCTGTATCACCTGGTGTGGGAGGGCGGGATCAGGGAAAGAGGCTTCAGGCTCTTAAGATTCTAAAGCAGGGTTCTAATCAGCTGCTCTGGACCCCAGTTTCATCTGAAGAAAGGACCTCCCCCTATCCCCAGTGATGCCCCTGATGCTCCTGAGGTTTATCTCCACCCCTATACCAAAATGTCAAGTGCACTTAACTATAAACCGTAGGTTCTGGAGTTACAGAGATTTGAGTTCAGATCCCACTTCCACCATTTACTAGCTGTGAGATATTGGACAAGTTACTTATTACCTGTTCTTTAATTTCTCTAATATTGTGGTTGAGGTAATAACAGCTACTTCATATGTCCAGGCATTAAATGAGTTAATGGACTTAAAGTACTTAGCCCAGGTTTTGGCCTAGAGTTCTGCATAAATGTCAGCTACCATTGTCCATGTTCACAGATGACTTCACATGTTGTAACATGCCTCTCCTTTGCAGCCCCCCTCAGGATCCTGTTGGCACTTCCTTCTTCTCATGTCCAATAATCAGTCCACACAAAGCCTTTGGACAGAAACTATGCATTAAAAACTTCCAACTGAAAAACAAATTTTAGAACCAAGTGATTAAAAACCTGAGATTATAATGGAAGCTGTCCCTTAACTAGAGCATTTACAACTATAAACACTATAATTAAAGGGCTTAGGGTACAGCAGAGGTTGCTTGTTCAATATTGTTTCACCTGCCATAAAAATGAGAACAAAATTGCTTTGATAAGTGGATTTAAAGACTGTTTGGAGTGATTTAATGTTCTGTAAGCACCTCTGTGATATCGACAAAGATTTTGTAATTTACTGTTACTCATCTATAAAATTTCAATCACTGGTTAGTACTGAATAATGATAACGTGTTCAATCCTTTGTCCTCTCTTTTTCTCTCCAGCCCTACTTTTTATCAATTTATAAATTTATCAATTTAAGGCACCTTGAAATAGGGAGTCACCTTCTTCATACAAAGATCCACCATTATCCTGGATCATTTTCAGTGTTCATGTAGATCACTATCAAAACACTAGTATTACAATGACTTGCCTTCTCAACTACAATGGACCCTCATCTCCACTTCACTTTAGCCACCTACTCCTATATCCACACTCCATCATCATCCAGAAATATGTCAGCTATGAAATTAAACTATGTTATATTATTCTCTTAATAGCTATTTGGTTCTCTGGTTTCATTATGTATACCTCATTTATTATTAACCTCTCTCTTTCCCACCAACCCATCACTCCTGTTTTCACTTCTTTCCCAATTCAGTTTAGAAATCATAACTTATTGCTTCAAGCTCTCTTCTAAATTTTTTTTTATCCTTGCCCGAAGACATTTTTCGATATTTTGTTCAGATAGAGTGGGAAGGAGAGAGAGAGAAACATCAACGTGAAAGGGACACATCGAGTGGTTGCCACCCACATGACCCAACCAGGGCCGGGGACAAACTGCAACCGAGGTACGTGGCCTTAGCGGGAACTGAACCCGGGTCTCTCCAGACCGCAGGCTGACACTCTAACCGCTGAGCCAAACCATCCAGGGCGTTTCAACCTCTTAATCATCCATGCCCTCAATTCCACTGCCCCATGTATTTCAATGAACTGAATCTTTTAAACTGGATTAAAAAATTGTTTCTATATTGATTTTAGAGGGAGAGGAAGGGAGAGGAAGAGATAGAAACATCGATGAGAGAGAACATCAGCTGTCTCCTGCATGCCCCCACTGAGGATTTGGCCCAAAACCTGGGCATGGGCCCTGACTGGGAATCGAACTGGTGACCTTTTGGTGCATGGATTGATGCTCAACCACTGAGCCACACTGGCTGGGCTAAACTGGATTAATCCAGTCATCTGTCTTCCATTCCAATATTTAAGGGTCATGGGAGCCTGGGCTCCACATTTATTAAAAGTTTCAATCAAAAACTTTTGACATTTTGTTGAACAAGGTTATACTATCATCCCAGAGATATATCTACACGATTACAGGAAGGCATTCACTGTAGAACTTTAAACTTTGTCCTGTTACCAAATGATACTCTATGTAATGCATTATGATTTAATGTTTTAGGTAAATTCTGTAATTATCTGGTGAATGGCACAATTATATTGCATTGTAATCATTGTGTGTTAAAAGCATTAATTTGCTAAGTGCAAATATTTGAAACATACCTTTGTTTTGTAATCTTCTCTTGGCATTCCAGCATGCTGAGTATACTGGGGGTTTGAAAAGAGGAAGTATCCAGCTCTCTCTCAGCCTCTGAAAGATCTGGCTGACACCCAGGTTCCTGGGTGAAAGTTGGAGGGAATCTCAGGCAAGTGAACTGGTGTCTTTCCATATTTATAGTCTCTAACCATGTTTCTTGTGTCTGCAGTCAATTTCTCACGCATGTGATATGGCTATTCTAAACTTTACCACTTTCCTCATCGTGGGTATTTATCATTCACCTACCCTTCAGAACATCCTATCACCTCCACCTACTCAGAGAACAGAGGCCATCATGCACAGAAGCCCTAAAATTTTCCCTTGAACCTACAGATACATGTACAAGCCTTTCCTTGCACATCTGCATTTTTGAAAAGAGCAGTCCATGTGTTTGTCCTTCACTTCCTCACTTTTTGTTCATTACCCTCTGACTCAACACATCCAAAATTGAACTCTTTACCTCTACCCTCTTCCACCTCCAACCACACACACCCTCCCAAGCCACATCCTCCTTCTGATTCACCATCTCAGTTAATGGCATCATGATCCACTTCCTTATTTAAGCTGTAAAAGAGTGTCCCCTTAATCACTTCCCTTTACCATGACTTACATCCAACCAGTTAATAATTTGTGTTAATGTTCTTTCAGATCTCTGAAAGTATACCACCCAGCTCCATATCCATTTCTACTTCATTTCCTATCGTTTTTTACAGAGCTTCTAAAATCATGTCCCTGCTTCTAGTTTTACATGTCTCCATCAGACTTCTTTTCTGGTGTCAGAGTAATCTTTCCAACATGCAAGTCTGATCACGGTGTGAAATCATTCAAGACAAATTCAAAATTCCTTAACAGGTATATAGGCCCTTAACCATTCTAGTCCTTGCTTCTCTCCTCAACTGATTTCTTGCAATTCAATTATAAATGTTATGTTTACCAGGCATATTGAACTACTTGTGGTTCCTTGAATAAGCCATTTTCCTCTCATTCCTTCCCCCTAGAGGTTATTCTTGCTATTTGGAACTCCCTTTTCACCTATACTCAACCTTCAACCAATGTATCTATCTCTAACAAAAAGCCCTCCTTGGTTCTCCCTTTCTTTCATCCCCACACACTAGGTGAGAGGCTTCTCCTCGGGGCTCTCAGAATCCATCCACCTCCTCCATCGTGGCATTTACCATAGTTTGTTGTAATTGTTTATGTGTCTGTATTCCCAACACCATTCTTTATGTCTCCCATCTCTTTATCCCCATGCCAGCAATGGTGAACAACAGGTACTCAGTAAATACAGAAAAAGGGGGGAGAAAGGTAGGGAGGTATCCCAGAGTCCAAGAGTAGAGGTATGGGTTTGAATCTCAAACAACTAACTTGCTGCCATGATTCCAATTTTGAAAATTGTTACCACAGACCAGGCAGATGTTTCTTTATAATATTCCTCTAAAACTTCATAATATTTAATAAATACTAATGAATTTGCTTGAACTATCAAATGTTTTTGGTAGAATAAAAGTAATAGTTAACATTGTGCCAGACATTGTGCTAAGTGCTCTAAATGTAGTATCTCATTTGATTCTTATAACAATCCTTTAAAATTAAAATAAAAGGCTACCTTGCAGACACCATCGTACCGGAACTGCTTGAGCCTAGCCATGGTGAAGCCCATCGTGTACTTCGATATTGCTGTTGATGGTGTTCCCTTGGGCTGTGTCACCTCCGAGCTGTTTGCGGACAAAGTTCCAAAGAAGGCAGAAAACTTCTGTGTTCTGAGCACTGTGGAGAAAGAATTTGGTTATAAAGTTTCCTCCTTTCACAGAATTATTCCAGTATGTATGTGCCAGGGTGGTGACTTCACACCCCATAATGGCACAGGCAGCAAGTCAACCTATGGGGAGAAACTTGATGATGAGAATTTCATCCTGAAGCACACGGGTCCTGGCAAATGCTGGACCCAACACAATGGTTCCCAGTTTTTCATCTGTACTGCCAGCCTCAGTGGTTGGATGGCAAGCGTGTGGTCTTCGGCCAGGCGAAAGGCGGCATGGATGTTGTGACAACCATGGAGAGCTTTGGGTCCAGGCATGGCAAGACCAGCAAAAAGGTCACCGTTGCTGACTGTGGACAACTCTCATAAATTTGACTTGTGTTTTATCTTAACTACCAGACCATTCCTTCTGTAGTTCAGGAGAGCCACCCCTTTACCCCCTTCTGCTTGGAACATTCTATAATATTCATGCTCTTGCCATAGTTCGTTGAGTTCCATGTTTTCTTTACTCTTTCCAAGTCTAGCTGGATTGCAGAGATAAGTTTATGAATATGAAATAAAAACTAAACAATTGTCAAAAATATTTTTAAAATAAAATTAAAATTAAAAACAACCTCTATTGGATTGAAATTAAAAATAACCTCTATGAGGAGACTGAGGCACAGAGAAGTTAAATAACTTGCCCAAAGTTGTATTGCTAGTATGTGACAGAACTAAATTTGAATTCTATATTTCTGATTCTAGAGCTCAAACTCCCCATCAGGAATATTAATTTCAGATGGTTCAAAGGGGTATTGACAAATTTATGCATGTAAGATAAGAGTGGGGGGTGTAGGAACCCTATCATTTAAGGAGTATTTTATTTTTATTGACCGATAAATGCTGATTTACAGTTGTGTAGTATTTTTTGTTTGTTAGTCCTCATCCGAGGATATTTTTTCATTGATTTTTAGGTAAGAGTGGGAGGGAAGGAAGGGGAGAGAGAGAGAGAGCATAGATGTGAGAGAGACATATTGATTGGTTGCCTCCTGCATGACCCCGACCAGGGTTGAGTGTCGAACCTGCAACCTAGGTATGTGCCCTTGACTAGGAATCGAACCCAAGACCCTTGGGTCCTTGGGCCAATGCTCTAACCATTGAGCAAAATCAGTGAGGCTTAGGGTTATGTAGTCTTAATGTTAAACATTAAGGACAAAGCTAGGTTGATCTCTGGAAAGTCAAATTAAAAGTGTTAAGAGACAGTCTTTCAGTCCAAAAGAGTTTAGAAGAAAATCACTGGACAATATACTTTTTAGGGTTTTCATACTGCAAGGTACGTAGGTTACCTCAGTTAATGAGGGTCTACCTTATGAATTCACAGAGAGAAAGGGAGAAAAAGTCCTAGCACGTGAAGCTGGGCTTCATAGAGCTTTGTCTTGTTCAGGATTCACTGTAGTTCTAACTACATTGGTGGTGGTCTTCTAATCCCTTAGAATCAATCACTTTCTGTAAATCCCCCTGTTAGAGTGACCCACTACTGGGACTCATCTTCCCTTTCTGCTAAAACTGCAGAAGTCCTTGCCTCACTTGCTCGTGATATTTTTTCACCCAGGGCTTCAATAGCCTCAATGCTTCTGCTTATTTCGTTCTGTTTCGGGATCTTCCTGCTCTCTACTAGCTATATGTCTGGCATTGAATGGATGAAATTAAGATGAAACATTTGTATAAGTACTTGTGAAGTACTGATTATGTGCCAGGAATTGGCAGTAATCGGTATAATAATGCCTATTTCACAGGATAATAATGAGGATTAAATAAGAAGTGTGAATGAGCTTTTATTATTGTATTATGTAGATTAAGAAAGCCTGAGATGAATTGACCTGGTATAATTACGTGATGAGAAATTAAGAAACATTTTGAGAAATCAAGAAAGTTCTCCTTGACCTGATAGGATTTGACTATTCAACTCAGAGAAATTATTTCAGAACTCTCCACTTTAACATTTAGAAGATATTTTGTGTGTACTTGTGAATTAACATAACCCTGAAATTATTTTCATTCTAATTTATGTTCTGAATTCTCAAATATAAAATGTTGATTACTAAAGCCTTTGGCGATTGTTATGCATATTCCACATTAGACACTAATCAGTAATTATGAGCTAGGCTGTGGGCTTGAAGGAGATCCTTCTGAAATAGCTAGAAACAACCGTGAATAATAAATGCAATAAATGCACATGGTGCTGATCAGGAGCCTCATTGGTTTTTTTTTATTTTTTTTATTGATTTTAGAGAGAGAGGAAGGGAGAGAGAGAGAGAAACATCGATGAGAGAGAACATCTATTGGCCGCCTCCTGCATGCCCCCTAACTAGGAATCAGGCCCACAACCTGGGCATGTGCCTTGACCAGGAATCGAACTGGCAACCTCTTGGTACATGGGTCAATGCTCAACCATTGAGCCATACCGGCTGGGCCTCATTAGTTTTAAAAACTGTTTTTCAGCCCTGGCCAGTTTGGCTCAGCAGTTAAGAGCATTGGCCTGTGGTCCTGGGAGACCCGGGTTCGGTTTCCGCTAAGGGCATGTAACTCGGTTGGAGTTTGTCCCCGGCCCTGGTTGGTCCTGCGGCCACTCGATGTGTCCCTTTCACGTCGATGTTTCTCTCTCTCTCTTCCTCTCTCTCCCTCCCACTCTATCTGAACAAAAAATGGAAGAATGTCCTCGGGTGAGGATTAAAAAAAAACCAAAAAACTGTTTTTCAGTCTAGTTATAGGTAGAAGGGAATCTCGAGTCTAATAGCCCTACCTCTAATTTATAGCTGTAAATTACCTACTTAAATTTATTTTTTAAATGCCCTGACCAGTTTGGCTCAGCGGTTGGAGCGTTGTCCTGTGGACCAGAGAGTCCCGGGTTCGGTTCCCACTAAGGGCATATACCAAAAAAAAAAACTAGCACAAATTATTGTTCTTATTATTTAACAGATATTATTAGAATTGAAAAATACATTTAGCACACATAGATATTTGAAGACAGGATCACCACAAAGCTATATATTCAACTAAAGGGTAGGTTCTGCAACTCCCAGGGTACTTCATTTATTGACTTCGTTACTTTGAGGTATGTGACATTAAGTGGTGTTAGGCTGGGATATTTTCCTAGGCTATAGCTATGTTAAGTTTAAGAAAGAAAAAGTCTCAAAGTGTTGTCTATTTACCAATTTTAGAGAATAAACAATTTTAAAGCATTTTAGAAATGAACATTTACATGTAAATAATTATTTTAAAAACCAAGATCATGTTCACCCCTGTTTAGTAACACAGTATGAGTTAGGGTGGGAAGCTGGGGTTTAGAAGAGAGATAAGCCACAATCCATGACAATACTTCTTTGTAAAAAAAAATTTACGCCACCCTTTTACTCATTTAAATTGGCTTCTCTGACATTTTTCCCTGATAGCAGAAAAAATATTTATGAGTAACTCTATGCAGGTTACTATCTGGGAGAGTTAGTTGCCTAAACTGATAAGCAATATGCCAGAATATGACAACCTTCCAGAAAGGGTTGAGGGCACAGGTAAATTGCTCGATCCTGTTTTTTTGGTATGTTGGAAGACCTGTCAGGCCTATTACAGAAAGACCCACTCCTTTGAAATATTATATATATATTTCATATTATACCACAATAGATGCATTTTGGTTAATAGGCGTTTTTTTTTTTTAATGTAAAGTCATATATGCTGCAGAAAAAAGTCGTTTTAAATCAGATTTTTTTCCTTCTAAAATCTAGCTAAAGTTCTCCATATAGGAGAAATTAATTTGTTCTGAGAGCTGGATGTGAAAAATGTCAGAGTATGAAGTACTGCAGGTTGAAGGCGGAACCCAGTGCACATGTAAGGAGGCCACAGAGTGCCCCTCCCCTGCAGTGAGCAATATAGACTGTCAAATTCAGGCTTGTGCTTTGTACTTCGAGGCTTGAAAGTCAAGGCTACTAGATCTCATCATTAACTAGGCTTTGCTAAATTACACAAAAATGAAAAGCTATCTTCTAAAAACACTAAACATATTATATTACCTACCAATAGTTCTCAAGGTTTAGTCCCCAAACCACCATTAGCCTGAGTGAAAATTTGTTAGAAATGTAAATTTTCAGGCCATAACCCAGCCGTACTGAATCAGAAACTCTGGAGGTAGACAAAGCAATCTGGGTTTTAACAAGTCTCTGGAGGTGATTCTGATGCCAGCTGATGTTTGAGAACATTGTATTATATTCCATATATTGTTTTTATTCTATAAATATTAAATATATTGCTTTGTAAACATTATGTCTCAAGGTAAATACCTTCACCATTTTATAGATAAATATCCCTTTACTAATATTATTATTCTATAAACATCTATATCTAGTATAAACTGTTTTTGATAATTGAAAAAAATCTATTTATTTGATAACATTCATGTTATAAAGAATCTCAGTGCTGTCTTGAATCTTACCTGACAACTGATCATTAATCTTATTTTGAAAGATCTCTTAAGCAGTGATTTTGATGTTTAAAGTTTTAACATTCTGTGATTACTGGTTTGACATAGGCATATCTTCAACATGGCATGTGGCACAAAAATGTTTTTAAAACCATCAAATTAAAGAGGAAATAAATTAGACAATAAGAGGCACTTCAGAGTGTTTGGTATATTCTTTAAAAATATTTAGTTTCTAACTTAATGGTTTAAAACCATTTTTTTGTAGGTGCCTCATGTCATGTTAAAAATATGAATATGCTACCAAATTACTTTAAGTGGGTTGCTTCTTATATCCGTTGTGGCAGGTGTTTTAGTTACATCTCCCTTCTGGCCTCCATCTATTTAAGGTATATGTGTATGTAAATGTGTGTGTGGAGGGTGTGTGTGTGTGTTTACTGAAATGTCTCCAGTCCCTCTGACCTTCCCAGAGGCATCAGACACTTTTCAACTCACACCTCAATTTCTGGCTGGTCTCCCAGGCTCCATCCGGTCTTTCCTACTCCCATTCGTCTTCTATGATTCTACTACACCCATTTCCCTCAAGTGCCGTTTGCCTGAAACCTTGCTCTCCATCTCAAAACTGCAGAAACTTCTATAAAGGCAGCAACCCACCTAAAGTAATTTTCTTAAAACCTTGTTGGGATCTGGATCCATTCCTAGCACAATGCTTTGTACAAAAACTTTTTTGTTTGTTTTTATCCTCACCCGAGGACACTTTTCCATTTTTTGTTCAGATAGAGTGGGAGGGAGAGAGAGAGAGAGAGAGAGAGAGAGAAACATCAACGTGAAAGGGACAC